CTAGTCACTGGATACACCATGAAGGCTTATGGCTGCAGGTGCACGGATGCCTCAGTGAGGAGCCATCTGGACTGTTTTCTGCAGAGCAGAAATACACAGAGTTACAGGCTTCTGACAGTTTCGTTTGATGACGGGAAGGCTCCTGGGCCCTTCAGCTGCCCTTTTAAGACCAGAGAGTCTGGGAGGGAATTCTTGAGGCGTCAAAACCTGTGTCGTAGATGACCAGCTGGCCCCGAGACATCAATCGGCAGGAGTGATGGAATGTGTACGGGAAGATGCAGCTGCCCTGCTCAGGAGAGATCCAGTCTTGCTTTGCTAAACCAGCTGAATTCCAGGAATACCAGCAGGGGGATTGGGTCATGTCTTACCTGCCTCTTGAGACAAACAAGCTGAAAGTTGGGGTGGGGAGGCGGGGGCTGGTGCCATAGCTGCCGAGAGAAAGGAAGGGCCAGATGCAAGGACCGGAAAATGCCCCATAGCAGGTGGAGGTAGACATAATTAATGGAGCTAGTGAGCAAGCCTGTACATGCCAGTATGTCAAAATCTTGTCCCCAGGAGCCCTGGGCTTGCTGGCCCCATCCCTGAGAAAGCAGAACAAGAATAGCTTGAGATTGACATGCCAAGCAAATGTACAGCAGGAAATTCTCATAAGCCAGGGGTTTGCTTAGAGGCCCTGGCCCCTGTGGCTAAAATCAGGATTATGTCTCTGCTGATTTACTTCCCAGCTGGGTTTTAGGAAAAGCCTCAAACAGACCACTGGGTTGTGCCCGAGATTGGCAGGCGAGACCAACCTTCCTCCTCAGGCTTCCTCTTCCTGGACAAGGAAGGGAGACACTCAGAGGAAACAGCCGCATCCCACAGCCTCCCTCTCTCTGGAACCCCCTTCGAGTCCCCACTCTGGTCCCAGACAAGTGTATTTGTGTAGACTAGAGAAAAGCCAATGCCTTTTACAAGTTGAGCCCTAAGCAGATCGCGTGCTAGCTTTGCTGGAAATGCCCAAAGCAATTTTGACCCTGGACCAGTGGTTCTCAGTGGAGATGCTATTGTTCAATTGAAAATTTGTTGTGAAGTCGTTTGGGCTGTCACAGTGATGGGGGACACTACTACTGTTTAGTAGTCAGAAGCCAGACGTGCAGACATCTGCACTGCACACTGGGGACAATCACAACACAACTTCCCGTACAACTTTTAAATGTCCCACTGGACGTTCATAAAGACGAAAATCCACCTGTGCCCCGAGCCTAATTTTATTTTGTCTATGAACGCAAAGGATTTGTTTTGTTTTGTCTTGATTCACAATTTTAACACACACTAACATTTCCAGGAAGGCAACTTGACCCACAGCTGCTGACCACTTTGGAAAATCACGCTGCCCAGGGCAACGCCACTCAAGGTGTTTGAACCACCAGAGCAATACACCCCTATCAGGGACCATTTGTTCCCTCGGGTCTTCTTGGTAATTCTATTCAGAGCATTTGCCTATTGAAATGCAGTTATTTGACTCTACCTGACTTTCTTTTTCTTTCTTCCTTATATTACCATCAGGGCATGGTATTGACACAGAGGAGAAATTATGTGTTATCTGTATTGTCTAGAAATTTCATTTCAGGATGATAAGGGGGACTGTTACCAGATGCGTGTAATAAAAAGGAGGAGGATGCTGTGGGGAAACACACACGGGCCTCACCGCCTTGGTTGGATGGCAGCACCTGAGCTGGTATGGATCTAACATTTTACCCAGACCATGCATTTTATTTGTACACATGCGCTGGTTTCTCTGGATAGGAGAGAACTTTTTCCCAGTGAGTGGCACCGATTAGAGAAATTTGCCGCACTGTAGGTGATATTAACATGTATAGTTCACAGATGGAATCGCAACCGCAGCTCTCCTTGCATGGTTTATCAAAGTCCAGAGTTAACCGCGCAAGGGACCCAGGGGGGGCCACTTTCGTTGTCCGAAGTGGTGCGATTGCGCCACCTAGTGTGACATAGGAAAGTAGCAGGTCTGTGCTTGACCCTGCCGATGGATAACAATAATACCCCAGTAGTATCATCAGCTAACACTTATGATAGCCTACCACGTGTCATTTTACATATATTAACTCATCTAATCCTGCCATAATCCTAATGAAATAGGCACTGTTATCCCCACTGTGCACAGGGGGAAACTGAGGAACGGGGAAGGTAAGTGAATTGACTATGTCGGGTAGAGATAGTGAGAGGCAGGGCTGGGATTTGAACCCTGGAGGCCTGGCTCTACAGTTACTACCTTTTTTTTTTTTTTTAATTTATTTTTGGCTGCATTGGGTCTTCGTTGATGCTTGTGGGCTTTCTCTAGCTGCAGTGAGCGGGGGCTACCCTTTGTTGCGGTGCGCAGGCTTCTCTTGTAGTTGTGGAGCACGGGCTCTAGGCACGTGGGCTCAGTAGTTGTGGCGCACGGGCTTAGTTGCTCCGCAGCATGTGGGATCTTCCAGGACCAGGGCTCGAACTCGTGTCCCCCGCATTGGCGGGCAGATTCTTAACCCCTGCACCACCAGGGAAGCCCTACAGTTGCTACTCTTTTTTTTTTTCTTCGGTATGCGGGCCTCTCACTCCCGCGGCCTCTCCCGTTGCGGAGCACAGGCTCCGGACGCGCAGGCCCAGCGGCCACGGCCCACGGGCCCAGCCGCTCCGCGGCACGCGGGATCCCCCCAGACCGGGGCACGAACCCGCGTCCCCTGCATCGGCAGGCGGACTCCCAACCACTGCGCCACGAGGGAAGCCCAGTTGCTACTCTTAATAACTGTGCTATGGCCTTGCAAGTGACTGCTCTCTTGGGAGACCCTAATCTGAGAGTCAGACTACTGAGCCTGCAGGGCTACCTGCAGCCATTTGGAGGATTTCCAAAAGAGAGGAAGAAGAATAGAAAGTTAATACCTGCCTCAGGACAGATCCAGAAAAGTCTTGCCTTTGTACGGGCCATGGAAATCTTGGTGCGTAAGTGTGAAGAGGGTGCTTCATTCCTTGGGCAGATTGTAGGGCTCTGAATCCCCCAGTTATACTGTAAGCTTCATGAGAACACAGACACGGTAAGTATTTTGTAATATAACATCTGTATTGAGATACAATTCACATACCATACAATTCATCCATTTAAAGTGTACAATACAATGCTTTTAGTGTATTCACAGAGCTGTGTAACCATCACCACAATCAATTTTTATCCCCAAAAGAAAGCCCACTCCCATTAGCACTCCCCCCAACCCCCAGCCCCAGGCAATCACAAATCTATTTTCTGCCTCTATGGATTTGCCTATTCTAGACATTTCATAGTAAATGGAACCATATAATATGTCACCTTTGGCGACATTTCTTTCATTTGGCATATACTGTCATCATCCATGTTGTCGCATGTATTAGCACTTCATTATTTTTATGGCTGAATAGTATTGTATTATATGGATATGCCACATTTTATTTGTCTGTTCATTAGTTGATGAACACTTGGATTGTTTCCACTTTGGGGCTACTGTGAATAATGCTACTATGAATATTTGTGTACAGGTTTCTGTGTGGACATATGTTTTCATTTCTCTTGAGTATATACCTGGGAGTTGAATTGCTGGATCCTATGGTGACTGTCTGTTTAACCTTTCGAGGAACTGCCAGACTTTTCCAATGGCTGCACCATTTTTTTTCCATTCCCACCAGGGATGCATGAGCGTTCCAGTTTCTCCACATCCTTGCCCACACTTGTCATTATCTGTCTTTTCTTTTATAGCATCCTAGTTGGTGTGAAGTGGTAGCTCACTGTGGTAGGGCCATTGCTTTTTAGACTCCCAGGTCGTTGAAGCTGGATGGGACCACAGCAATCAGGTTGCCCAATTTGTTCATTTTACAGGTGACACAGTGAATGTGAAGAGAGAAGGGACTAACCCTAGGGCACAATTAGTAAAGAAGGCAGTAATACAGCCCATATATATTTTTTCTTTTAAGAAAGTAAACTAAAGCCAGCTGGCCCCCCAAAGATGAAAGGCTCTGAATGATGTTATTCTCTAAAACCTAGGAGAAATTTCTGCAACTATAAAAATCAGAAGATGATGAATCGGTTTCAGTTGTGTGAGAAATTAATCAAAATAAGCAACTCAGGAATGAGGAAGACGTTTACATAAAATAACGAAGACAGAAAACCTGAGTTAACTATTAATGCAGTTTGAAAGCTCAACAAATGTCAAAAAATAATTTTTGAAAGAGAAGACACATGATGTAAAATTTTAATAATGGCCTGAAGCTAGAATCGCAGTTTATGCCTGCAAACGTGTGCCCTGCAGCGGCGGTGAGGTCGGCGGAGGGTCCCCAGGTGCCGGCCGTGCGCGTGAACTCGCCCCCCTGAGCTCGGAGGAGGCACCGGGAAAGAGGGTTACTATCTGCGCGTCCCGGGCCGACCCCTGCTTCTCGCCTGCTGAAGGTGGAGTTCCTTCAACCTTCCCTCGGGTCCTCTTAAACTTTTGTTTCAGGAGTGTGAATATCACATTTCCCTAGTTTTAAGTGGCGACAGTTTTCTATTTTATCGCTTCAGTCATTTCAGCGGTGACTGGGGGAGGCGTGTCACTCGCCATCTTGGATCAAGGGCGAGAGGACCAGTTTCGCGCGGACTTAAGGCGCGTCCTGGCGTGATGACAGTGGGGACCGAATCGGAAGTCCTCGGACAAGACTTCTCAGTCCTCGCCTCTCCCTCCCCCACCCTCAGCATCCGGCCAAAGAGAGACTCCTCCATCCACCAAAGCTGGAGTGGGTAGGATGGGTGCCTTCCTCTTGAGCATCCTTGGGTCCCAAATCACACCCATCCTGTTCTCCGCTGGAGCGGGAGCGGCGGGGCGCCGAGTGGGAGCGAGCGGCTGGGTTCTGCCCGGGGCGGGCTGGGGTGCAGGGAGCCGGGAGGGCCCGGCCGGCTTGACACCACCTGGCGGAGTCTCGGGGAGGAGTCTTAAAGGCGCGCGCTCTCCGCGCCCAGCGCACTCCAGCTGGAGCCGCTGAGAGCTCGCCTCCCTCTCCCGCCCGGCGCCTCGGGAGGTAAGTGCGGTCCGCCGAGACGGAGTCGGGGCCCGGTGGGGTGGCCCGGGCCTCAGCGCTCGGGAAGCTTCGGCCGGGGCCACGGTGGCCGGGCGGCACCCAAGTTGTTTGAAGGCCTCGGGGGGCAGCTGGAGCGGCGAGCGCCTGGTAGGGGACGGAGGGGCGGCCTCGGGCCGGGGCCGTCTGGGGGCGGCCGTCCCTGGCGATGATGCCTGGGAGTTACCGGCGCGCGGCGCACGTTCCAGCCTCGGCCCCGCGCCCCGCTCACTTGGCGCGCTCCGGCCGCGCCCCCGGCGAGCCCAGCCCGCTGGAGCCGCCACCCCCGCTCCGCGCCTTGCCGCACGCCCCGGGCCCCGGCAGCCCGCTCGCCCCGCGGTCGCGCCCGGTCACGCCGGCAGGTCGCGCTCGGCGGCCGGCCAAGCCTTCCCCGGCCCCGCCGCGCCCGCGCCAGCGCCTGCGCCCCGGGCCACCCCGCCCGGCCTCTCGGCGCTGCGCCCCTCGCCTTCCCCAGCTCCAGTCGCTCGCTATTTTCACACCTCCCGGTGCCCCGGCCCCGGCGCCTGATTCAGTGCTTAGTAATTAATTTGGCGTTTCAGAATGGTCAGCGGGCTGGATAATGGGCGCATTCATCCCCCGGGCTAATCTGAACAGAGGTGGGAAGAAAGGCTTTCACAGACAGAAAATGCCATTCGCTGAGCGCTCAAAGGGACTGTCACTCCCTGAATAAATCGCCGCCGCGCCCGCCGGCTCCTCTGGCCATTTCCATACAGCCCCGTCCGCGCCGCGGACCCGCCGGCCTCGGCCTCGGCTCCCGGGAATCACTCACTCGACTGCCTTCGACGGGAAAGTCGAGCTAGAGCGAGACCCAGGCGGGGCCCTAGGGGAAACGGGGAAGCAGGGGGTTCGGGTTAAGGCCGCAGGGGACAAAGAGCTTGATTAGAAAATCAAATGCTAAACTAGAAGGAGGCGCAGCTAATCCGAGGCGCGGACTTTGGAGCTGAGCTGAGAGAGCGTCCGTCCCAAACCCCGAGGTTCGCAAAAGGGGACCCGCGGCCCAGAGCCGTCCGCGGCTGCCTGAGGTCACACAGCAAGCTTCTGGATCCCAAACTGCAAATGGAATCCAGTGCACAAGCCGAGATCGTAGAGACAGGGCCCGCTGGTGCAGTCCGGACCCTCACCAGACGTTTGATTCCGGGTTCCCCACGACAACAGCTCTTCGCCTGCGGGGCTGGGGATGTGACACCGTGCCCTCCGCCGCCTCCAGCTTGCCACTCCTAATGGGACCCTAGGGTCTGCCCCGGAGCATCAGCTGAGCGGGTGACGGCGGCTTTATCCTCTCACCCTAAGTCGCCCCAGCGAATGTTGGACACAAACGTCTGCGGGCTCTGAAAGCTGGAGCCTCCTCCTGGCGGCGCCCCCTTCCCTCCGGCGAAGGAGGATTGTGCGCTGCAGACGCAGCCCTAACGGCGACGACGGCGCCCCGACGGCGCCCCCAGCCCGGCTGCGGAGCCTCGGGGTGGGCAGGGTGGACTTGGCTCTCTCCAGGGTGAAGCTCCTGGTGCTTGATTTTCCTGCGGTGGGGGGGGGGGGTCACCGCGCGTCCAGCTCGCAGGGCTGATTTGGCCCTGGGCCCTTCTGCCCAGTGGGACCTTCCCGTCGGGGGAAGAGAAGGACCTCTGGCCCTAAGGTCCAACCTCAGCGGGATTGAGAGGCTGGAACAACAAGGGAAGTAGCTGGCTCGGGAAGAGACATTTCTGGAATGGCCAGATGGGTGTCCCAGGGTGTGTCTGGGATCGAATCCCGGCCACTCACCAACTTCTGAGCAGTCCCTCCTCCCTTCTGAGTCTCAGTTTCCTTGTCTGCAAAGCAAGGATGAAATGAGATCACACTTGGCGCCAAGTGTAGGGCCCTCGGTGGAAGGGTTCCACACACCACTCATAGCCCACCAGCAGCACACTCCCCGGGCGCCTCCCCAAGTATTCACCAACACCTCTCCTCGGAGTTTAAGGGCTCCTTCGATTTTTTCTCGGGCTGCTCCCACCTTTGCTGCTTCTGGGTTCTGGTAGCCAACTCTCCTTGAAACCACACATTCTAAGAGCTGGAAGGGGCCTTTCAAAGATTCTCGGGCCATTGTACAGATGGGGATACTGAGACCCAAAGTGGCTGGCAGGTGTCATCCAGCTAGTCAGTCAGAGGACTTGAACTGGTGAGGATTTTCATGCAGAGAATTGAATCTCAAACCCTGAGCATCAGCTCCCCCATCCCCAGCCCCAAGGCTGTAGGCCTGGGGAGGGGCCCAGAAATCTACATTTTCCACAAGCTTCCCAAAGCCTTTCCACACTGGTGGGATAGAAACTATATTTAGGGAAATCCAGCCCAAACTGGGCTCTTTCCTCAGTAGCCCTTTCCCTCCCAGGACCGTAGCCCCCACCCCCCTGCTTTCTGTGGCTCATATTTGATGGGCAGAACAGCCTTTACTGTCTCCCATCCCCACTGGAGGCCAGTGGTGGGTGGGGTGTACCTCTAGGAGATGCCTCGGGATCCCCTGAATGTGCAGCCTATGCGGCATCAGCTGCGGGGGAGATGAATACCCCGCCAGATGAGGAATGGACCAAGTGGGCCGCAGGCTGACTGGGCGTTGGGCCCTCAATCCTAGGGGGCTCCTCTAACCAATGCGCTTTCACAGCTGGACCCAACTCTGTGCATGGCAGGCCCCACACAGACAGTACCAATGTGCCCAGAGGCCCCTCTTAGCCAGGCAAACCCGGCCCACGCCAGGGCCAGAGCAGCCCGTCCTGAGCCATCCGCAGCTGTGCCAGCAATAACCCAGGTGCGAGCCGTAGCCCAGAACAGCCGACACCTGCCCTTCACCAGGCTGGGGCTCAAAGGAGAGGTGTGAAGGGGCACGGGCGGGGGGAAGGCCTGGAAGAGTGGAAGAAAGTGGCGGGGGT